AGTTTGGAAATTTGTAGATTTTGCTAGTTTTATTGACTTAAATGCTTGATTCAATTCATTATCTTGGTGTGAAGCAAGGACTTCTAATAATGATTGGCTTGTTGAGGATCATTAGTTATTATTCATCATGGAATTAGATTTGAGTGCAATCTTTTGATGTACTTCCATTTTAATTGTTGCATTCAGCATGCTCTTTTAAGTATTTATTGCAATTTTATCTTCTGTTCTTTGACACATTAGGCCAAAGTGCTGGGAACCTGGGACTAAACAAGTTTTTGTTAAACTGTCCTTATTACATGCAGGCTGTCCCCCTGCAAAACAAAGAAATTTCAGACAGTGGACCCGCCGGTAGGCACCCTGATATTTCACTTCAAGTTCCCCCTAGACCTATAGGATTTGGAAGCACTAGTGGTGGAAGGGTTCTAGATCATTCTCAAAGTTTCACCAAAGGGATTTCATCATCAAGAGACTTCTTGCGGGCCTTGAGCTTCAAAAGAAAAGGTAATGTAGCAGATGGCGAAAGAAGTTGCCTCCTTAATTCAGACCCCAAGTCAGCTGAAGACGGTCCTAATATGGCCTCCATATCTGAAATTGCATGGAAAAGGTGTACTTCTCTTCCCGTTACACCTGCATCAAATCTGTCTCCTTCAGTTTCTACACCCATTTCTGCAAGGACATATAATGAACAGACTAAGCCTCATGTAAGCTATCTTCTACTTCATTGAGTTGCCTTCTTTATGGATTTTCAAGATGAAATTTTACGCTAAATGTACCTAGGGTCATAGCAAAAGTTGAACCACATTTAAAGGTTAAATTACTCAGGAATCAGGATATTGTGTCGAACCTGCTATCAAAGAAACTGAATATATGCCTCCACCAAAAAGGGGAAGATGAAACTGATCGGATGTGAGATTTTGAACAATGTTTTTAGAAAGCATGAAGTTTAAAATTATGTTTAGTGCCATCTGAAGCATATTTTATACTCATAGTTGCATAAATTAAGGTTTGCCTTAGGTATCAAGAGTTTTTTAACGTTAGGAAAATTACTGTTATTTGTATGTAGAAAGATGTTGATCGTTCTAAGGTTTCAAGGTCCCTTTCTGTACCTGGACGAAATGTTGTTATTGTAAGATCTGTCTCTTTTTCTACCCGCACCGAACATGAGCAACAAGATGCAAACGATGGTATGTTATGTCATAACTCTATCATTACAGTTTATAGTCCTACTTTTTCTGTTTTTAAATTCATAAGCTTGAAGTAATCTAATCTGTTTTCCAAGGTTGTGATTTGTAACTATCCCACCTAGTATGGTGTTTCCCTCCATCACCTTCACCATGTTCATTTGTTTCATCAAATTGAATTTAAAAGTCTCTTAAGTGGATACTTTGATGTAAAGGTTTTCAGTTAATTGAATTTTATCATATACAAATCATCCCGAATCAAGGGTTAGACACCTTAACATAATCTCTTAATTTGGTAGAGATTATCTTGATCAGTGGGCAAAGTCTGAAAATGATGTATGTAGATGATAGACAAAATGCTGGACTAGTTTTTGATATTTTATTGAACTGTTGATGTGTAATCAACACCCGACTTATTTTCCATGTTTTTAGCATATATCAGTTTAATCTCAAACGAACTTTCTATACTTGGCCAATCAGATCAAATAACTCCTGCGCCAGTAGAAGTTACTTCTGATGAAGAAATTCCTGAAGAGGAAGCAGTGTGCAGGATATGTTTTGATGTGTGTGATGAAAGGAATACCTTGAAAATGGAATGCAGTTGCAAAGGTGACCTGAGATTGGTGCATGAAGAATGTGCAATTAAATGGTTTAGCACAAAAGGAGATAAGAAATGTGATGTATGTGGGCAAGAGGTTCAGAATTTGCCTGTAACTTTGCTTCGTGTGACCAGCTCTGTTCAACGACAAAACAGACAGCAAGGTCAGCAGAACGTACATCCAGAGTCAATAAGGTGATTTGAAAATCATGCTCTCAAATTAAGTAATCCATTATTTTCCATTCTTTACGATGGACACTTTAGGTGTCTTTAGCTAAGCTGAATAGCATCGTGCTTTTCATGTAATGGGATAAGGTTTTTGTTGTTGTTGCTGTACCGTGGACACTTTAGGTATAACTGATTATAGGTGTCTCTCTAGCATATTACTTGAACAAAATTTTCAGCATCCGTGCTGTTGGGAACCGACTATGGAAATAAAGGAACGAATTATTTTACTGCTTGACTAAAAATGAACAGAACAAGGAGAAGTATCTCCTCCATGGGTTTCGCCTTTCACAACCGAGCGCTAGTTCAGCACTCTCAAAATACAATTTCCAGAATGATTCCCCCACTCTTACTTCCCCCTATTTATATATATCTAACTAATCCACTCTAACTAGTTAACTGCTTTAACTGTCTAAACTAGAGTAACTACTTTGTGTTCCTTTTATTCTTCCAAGCAACTACCCTTTTGTCCTAAAACGCAGTCTAAAACCAATCTTAAACCTTTACCTAACAGCTGAGGCTTTTAAAATGAGTTGCTAGAACCTCTATGACAAACTGTTCAACAGTTTGATATTTGTCATCCTATTCCTTTATATGAAAGTTAAATTTCAACACAAAGGCGTTTGGCAGGGGAAAAGTTTTTTATATTCAGGAATCAAGATTTTTGAAAATTACAAATTCTGATAATCATAATTTCTAGGAATAGCAAAAATCTATTTGATTACTTATAAAGGTTTTTGGGAATATTCATATAGGATTCACAATTAAAGATTTTCTTATTTGGTTACAATAGTATATTCTTAGGTATAGAAATATTTTATACAAAAAATATATTTTATTAAAATATACTGAGTAGATATATTTAGTTACTCAAATCTTATTACAAATTTGACATTAAACTATTTTAAAATTTTAAAAATTTGAAAATTTACATTTAATATTATTTAAATGCAAATTTTGACAAAATAAATAAATAAATAAAGATGCTACATAATAATTAAGAAGGATAAAAATATATTATTTCATTTCATTCAAATAAAAAGATAAAAAAAGTATTAACAAATACCATTAAATTATAAAAACAAAATAGACTTTAATAATATTAAAATTAATAAGGTAATGAGATACGAGAGAGAGATAGAGACTTGGAAGGAGGAGAGAGGGGGGGAGTGAGAGGGAGAAAGAGAAATAGAAAGAGATAGAGAGAGAGAAAGAGAGGGGGTGGGAGAGAGAGGAAGAGAGGGGGAGTGAAAGTGATAGAAAGAGAAATAGAAGGAGAGAGAGAGAGAGAGAAATTTTTTGTTTTAAAAAAGGATATTGTAGTTTTTTATATGCATAAAACTTTCCTCCTAACTCGGGAAAGTTGAATTCCCACTCCTTCTATGGAAATGTTTTTATAGGAAAATGAGATAAAAATGATTCTTGGGAAATTATATTCCTGGGAATCTTATTTTTTCTTCAAAATAGCTATGAAACATGGGGAACCAAGATTTCCGACTTAAAATTCTCAGAAAAGTAAAAACTTTCTGCATATCAAACGCCACCAAAGTGAAATGAACTAGTGCACTTCCCATGCTATGAGCCCAAAGTGCTCTTACATGTCCATGAGGGGGCTAGTTTAATATAAAAACATTCTCAGACTTGCACCTAACACCTTAAACATTTTGAAGGGTTGGTCCTGGACAAGTTTTCATTTAGTACATTCATTCAGAGTTCATATTTTATTTTGTCTTGAGCAATATTCTTAATTATTTATTACTACTGCTACTAATAAGGCTCGACTTGAGTAACTCATTTGGAGTAGATTAATGAATTATTCTATTGTCAAGCATTTGTTCACTCCAGTATTAATCTTTTCCTTTTCTTTGACATATTTTTTAATAATTTTGTTTGATATTCCTTTTGCAGCGCCTGGCAAGACTTTGTGGTGCTTGTCCTGATAAGCACAATATGCTACTTTTTCTTCCTTGAGCAGCTACTGGTATGCCAATTTTCTTTGACAAAAGACTTCTGGATAATAACTAACATCTGCAAAGAACTACCTTGTGTGTATTATCTCCTTTATGGTTTTAATTATTATTCCTACTTTGTGACATTTCTTGATCTTATAACCCATTAGGTTTCTTTAAAGCATACAATTCATTAATTCACAGATATAGAATAGAGCCAAGGACAAACCATATTACATGTTTCCCTTTTTACATGACATATTCACAGTACAAGCCTATTTTATTATAGGAGGTGGGGTGAAGAGAAAAATAAGCAGTAACTGCCCATGCATAACTTGATAATTATGATTATATCACTCCCCTTCCCACAGCCAAATGAATTCCCTCTCAACCCCACCAGTTCCTACTTGTACACATCATGACCCACTTCACTAACTAAGTTACCCACGAGTTGACTAACTAACTCTTAACTACCTATAATAACTAACTGCTAATAGAGGTTATCTAACATATTCCATGTTGTAGCTTCCTGAGTTGAAGACTCAAGCGATTATTATAGCAGCGCCATTTGCCTTTACCTTGGGCCTCCTGGCTTCTATTTTTGCAGTCATCCTGGGTATACCTCTGTAACAGAACTTTTTTTTCTTTTACGAAATGCTATTTTGTTTGGATTTTAATTGAATGTTTACTTATGCTGTTTGCAGCAATAAAAGAGTATATATGGACATATGCTGCTCTTGAGTTTGCCTTTGTGGCTTTAGACGTGCATGTATTTTATACTATGGTGAGTATGATTGTAGAGAATTCTTATTCATTTCCCAGGATTGATTCCATGAATCAAATGCTTACTAATGACTATTACTTCAATATTTTCATATTGATAACCACCACCATTAATCTGTTACTTCTGCCTCCTCAGTTGCAAGTTACAACTTTGCATGTATCTGCTGCATACACGCATCACCCTGTGTTTTTCTGGAATAGAAGTGTTAAGATGTCCCACACTGCCTAAACAGATCCTTATGCACCCTAGCTTTTGAAGAAGTTAAATGAAAAAAGCTTTTATAGAAGTTAAATGTATGAATTGATTTTAGCTTATCCAGAAACTCAATTTATTTTACTTTATTATTTTCTTCTCTTAAAATTACTTATGGAAAAATTTATCCAAACAAGACCTATTTTCTTGATTTATTTCATGTAGTCTTCCTCTTTCGTCTTGTATTAACAACTTAACAGTGTTGTTGCCTTGGTAATTTAAAATACCATGCATCTCAGCTCCTGAGTTGATTACTGGACTGTAACTTTATTTTCTAAACCTTTGTGATTTTGTTGCAGTTGCATTTGACGGCCGTATATGCAATACTACTTTCATCAGTTTTTGGTTTTGGAGTTGCAATGGGCATCAATTACGCGTATATCCAGTATGCCACTTGGAGACTCCAGGTCTTTCATGATGATAACCCAGTATGAATCTCCTCATAAGGGAAACAACTTCCATGTATTTTTGTTCTCTGTATCTTGTTGACATGATGACATGTCACAATGTTTATTATGAACCCTTGTGTTTGTCAATCAATACCATTACCACGTATTATATTTTTGTCAAATAAATATCATGAAAGTGTATAAGCAAGAGAGCAAGTGAAGCAGAATCTATCTAGCATTTTCCTCGGAAATTCCAAATTTATTTCACTGAATAATTTTCTGTAAAAAAGGTTAGAAGCAACAAAAATTTCTCTTGGTTTTTTTCTTTTTTCAACCTATGGGAATCAAACTCGGGATCAAGCAGTCTACAATAAGTCAAGCACCATGTTCAAGATAATACAATCTCTCAATTAGTGTGTTAAAAGATGGCTCAAATTGGCCGATCGGACCTAGACTCGAGTATATAACTAGTTTGAGCTGAGAGATTTGAACATGCACTTCTTGGATTGAGGACATTGTTGATTACCACTACACCATTTATTTCTTTTTGTATACTTTAGAATAATATATTATGTATACTTAAATTAAATTATATTTTATTTCTACTAATGTATTTTTTTGTTATGCATTTGACTTAAATGAATTATATAGTATGATTTTAATTTAAAATTATATATTAGTTTATTTGATTCACTTAGAGTATAATTTAGTTACTTTGTGATTATTATATTAATTATAATATATTTTAGGCTGATTTAAAATATGGTATGAATGTTATTAAATTTGTAGATATGAAATATATATATATATATAATAGAATATTTTGTTAAAAAAATTTAATAAAGACTGGATCATATTTATTGATTCACTACTCTCTGATTAGCTTTATGATTGGTTTGATTTTTAAAATATTGGTCTGAATTGAGTACTAAAGACACTCATTTACCATGATCAATAAGTATAAAATATAATACATATGGCTTTTGCTTGAAACCGGAAGAGTAGATGAAATAGATTGTACGAGGTAGCTACTACCCTCGAAAACTCCTTTGACGCTTCTTACAGCAAGCAAGAATGACAAGAATAAATTAATGTTATTTTTTATTATTTTTCCTTTTGTTGTTAAATCTTCAACTCAACTTCGTGAGTACACCTTTCTTCAGGAACTCAATGAATTAATCCAAGCACAGTAGTAGAAACACAACTGCGCAAGCCGCAACGCAAGGCATCAATAATATACTGAGTGGGAGCAAAGAATAAATGCGAGTGAATTATTATTATGTATTTTCTTACCTTAATTTTTCCACAACACACAAAGATTAACAACATATCATGGTAAATATAATGATAAAAAATGGCACAAACAAGTTTAGAGACATAGATAAACATGGCATGCATTAATATTAACCTAGCCTGTGAACTGGCTCAAAGTAAATTGGAATCCAAGTCTCCTCCATCTCCAAGAAAATCCTTATCTTACGTCGAAAGAAAAGACGAGGATTGTTTCCAAGTAGTTTTGAATATGCACGAGAAAAATATGCCATTGGACGACCTATATATCAAATGAATCGTTACACTACTTCGTACTCTTAATTAGAAGCCTACTAGGAACATAAATATTTTGTTTAACTCACTAGACATATAGAAGAAAATATAACTAGTTACTGAAATGGTTGATATTGACGTTGAAAGTTTGTTTAACTATGCCATGAAGGGGCAATGGGGAGAAGCCTTAGAGGCCTACAACGAAAACCCGGGTGTATTGGAGGCTAAGATCACAGAAGCAGAAGACACGGTGTTACACATTGCTGTGTACTTGGGGCAAACGTGCTTTGTGACCAATCTGCTTGATAAGATCCACGAAGAGGTGTCTCTTAACATCTTATACATGCAAAACTCGAAGGGTAACACTCCCCTTCACCTTGCAGCAGAGCTTGGGAACGTGGAACTGTGCCATGACATTGCCAAAAGGGATCCAAACCTCATTTGTGGTCGCAACTTGGAAGGTGAGTCCCCTCTCTTCTTGGCAGCTGTTCATGGCAACAGAGATGCCTTCTTTTGTCTCCATCGCCACCAACAAGGACATGCTGAGGACGACTCGCTGGCTAGGAAAAGCAATGGTGACACCATCCTTCATTCTACCATCGCCACTGAATTCTTTGGTTAGTGTCATTAAATATTATTCTCATGTTCTGTTTTTTGTGTGTATTTTTTAACAAAAAGTTTAGGTGGGTGGGAGTTGGGTCCTCACTCATTAGGATTAGACTAAACACTAAAGTTCAAATAGTACTAACCCACAAGTTGTTTACTAATTTGCTTAAACCGTAGTACATAATTTATTAGCGTATCTTTCTCATGTTGATCATGTGCCTAGCAATTTGATACATATGCTGAAGTTTTGAATCCAGTCTATTAATTATATGCTGTCATTAAAAGTGTGCTTATATACTAAAATATAATGAACTGACAGGTTTAGCACTTCAAATAATAGAGTTGTACCCAAACCTGGTGAATTCTGCAAACCAGGACGGATTGACACCTCTTCATATTCTTGCTGGGAAGCCTAACTGTTTCAAAAGCAGTACAAGGATGGAGTTGCTTCAGCGTATTGTATACACTTGTAAGAATCCAACAAAGCTTTTCTGCATATTTTATAATTATTCTCTCACATGACAAAATATGCCTCAGGGATGGTTGGATCCCAAGGAACAGGCATATATCCTGGGGCCAAACTAATAAATATCAGAGAGAGAGGAGATGCTTTTATTAGTGATCTTTTATTTTATGTTATTAGGATTGAGATTAAATATTTAATTCTCACGTAAAAATGACATTTTCACTCTATAAAATTTAAACAAAATTTTCGGATAAGCATAAGGAGTGGTTAAAGAAAGATCCTATGTTTTTTTTAAAGATCTTGATCCTTTTATTTTTTTGCAGTTTACTTATTATGTAGTACTGATAATCCGCGTTTGTCAGGTTCGTTTGTTGATGAATTTGAGGAAACAGATGATGGACGTTATGACAAAGCAGAGACAACTGAGCACTGTCCAGCGAACTACGCAACATGCGCAACCTTCATATCATTGTTTAAGAGTATTGGTGTGTGAATCATGTTTCATTTTACTCGTTTTCAGTTTCTATCTGCTTATTAAGGATGAAAGTATGAGGAGTTATGACTTAATCTATATCTAAACTAGGTTTACACTTTGATAAAAGTTTATTTAATTAGAAAATTCATGTTTTAGATCAGTCAAGAAGTCTTTTAATTCTAACTTATTTAAATAAATAAATATAAAGTAATAGTTTTTTTTAGTGATATTACACATTAAATTTCTTAAAATAATAATAATAATATTATTATTATTATTGTTATAATATTCAATTATTAAACACATGGACCAAGACTCAAGCACATAATTGATAATGAGATAAACTTATTTAGAAATCTGTTACAAAATGAAATTTTAAATAATTTTTTGTTAAAATCGAACAACTTTAACATTAAGTTTGTATGAACATGTTAAACTCAATTCTTATAAAACTTAATAGGCTTATTTCTGCATGTGTCTCATGCATGGAGTTGTAATAACTTTAATTATCATAAGCTATAGTTAAACATAAAAAAAAAATATTCGTCATCTTAATAGCCCATGAAAAGAGAAATCAAAATATTTATAAAAGTTTTAATATCAATTATCAAATATGTCTTTTAAGTGAGCTAATAAATGACTTTGGTTAAATCAAGTATAAGAGAAAAAAAATGAAAACTTAGATTTTGAATTTTTTTTAAAACAGAGTAGACCTATTTAAGAAGCCTCGTTAGCCCAAGCACAATTCCCTTCAACTTCGATTTATTTATATTTCCCTCCCTAAGTTTTAATTAATATTAGAATTCACCAATTTTTTCCATCATGGCAAGAAGGCGAAGCTTAACGAATCTATCTTTTACGCTTTGTTACAGCAATAGGAAATGGGAAAAATGATGCAAGGAATGACGAAGAGAATAATGTCTCGCCAAACTATGGTAATTTCCCTTCATAAATCATTTTCTGTTTTAATACCAAATACTGTATTGTTATAGTATTAATACGAAATACTGTATTACTATACGAAAAAAAATAGTAACGAATTTATGTTGAAAACAATGATCAATAGTACACACTAAAATAAACAAGAGATTGAGAGAGGATAAACATGCATAAGTTATGCATTTGAAATTAACTTCTATATATTAAATACAAATTTTTTAGAATATTTTTTTAAAAAATTCTTCAATGAAAAGGTTTTTAGAAACTTTTTTAACTTTTTATCTAATTTAATTTTTATTTATTATGATTATTTATGGATTAAACTTTAATATTTTAAAATAAATTATCAATAAATAAAAATAATATTATGTTACAATATAAATTATTTATTATAAATTTAAAATATATTTAATATATTTAAAAATATTATTTATAAAAAATTTAAATGTAATTTATATATTTAATCATAATATTTATTTATTTATATGTATAATTTATTATAAATTTAAAATATATTTAATATATTTAAAAATATTATTTATAAAAAATTTAAATGTAATTTATATATTTAATCATAATATTTATTTATTTATATGTATAATTTATTATAAATTTTAATTATATAAAATATATATTTAATCTGTATAATGGAGATGCTAAAATCCTAGTACGTATCGTAGAATCCACTATTCTTAAATTCGAATATCTCTCATGTTTTATATATGCAGAGCAAGAGCATGCAAAGAAAGCAAGGAAAGAAAAGAAACAGCCCGTGATCCCTCCCAATTGGGCAGCCACGATCCGATTCCTGATCCATATGATGAAGATCTTGCTTGTCATTTGTGGTGTTGGTAAGCACATCCATCCATTTCTCTTCTCACAGTGCTACTTTCTTTTAACCGAGTGAGTGGCTTTGATCATGCACGCAGGAGCATCTTGGATAGGGAAAATCCAAAGAAAGAAGGTGAAACACGTTCTGGCTAAGCAAGTGATGAATGAGCTAATTCAGCGTACTTCTTCTGTGAACAAGTATGATTATACAAATAAGAGAAAAGGAAGCATAAACAGTAGTAATGATAAGGAGAAAGGGGGCATTGAGAACAATAGAAGAAGAAGAATGTCACCTATTTTAATTGCAGCAAAGATGGGAGTGACCGAAATGGTTGAGAAGATCCTTGAGACAAACCCTGTGGCCATCCAAGACGTGGACTCTGATAACAAGAATGTTGTTCTTTTGGCCATAGAGAATAGACAGCCTAATGTTTACAGCTTGTTAAATAAAAAGAGTTTTATCAAGGATAGTGCATTTCGCCAAGTGGATAACCAAGGTAACAGTGCATTGCACCTTGCTGCCACCTATAGGAATCATAAGCCTTGGCGTGTACCTGGTGCTGCCATGCAAATGCAGTGGGAATACAAGTGGTATAAGGTCAACTTTCTTCCTATATCTCCTCCCAAGATTTTTGGAAAATTTTTGCAAGTTAGCAATGCTCTTGTATTTCTGTCTCTGTCAAAATGAAATATAGGGTCAAGAACGAAATCCACCGCATTTCACACAACTTACAACTTTTATCTACTTTTCTCTCTAAAGAACAACTCTTTCCAAAATCTCAATCAAAAGCTGTTGAGTTGGAATCCCATTCTGATTAAGGATTTTTTTGGTTTTCCAGGATCTAATTATAAGAGAACCAAGAATGGGAAGCTTCTCTCATTTAATCGATCAACTCCTTGATCTTAAGAATAATGATTTTTAAGAATGAGTGATTATTCCAATCCTTGGTGTCAGAACTATTAAGATCAATCTAGTTATCAAGATTAGAATATATGTACAAAGTTCTAGATTCGAACTTTGTTATCATTTTAGTAATTTTTATGAATCAATTTCTTTTAGAATGAATAGCTAATATGTTTCATTATTTTGAAAAGAGTTGTATGTCTTTGTCCAACCTAAAAATAAATAGCTAATATATTTTGTTATTTAAATAAGATTTTATGACCAATTTGCGACCACTAGATGTTTGGGTATGAATTGTTGTATGTGTATTATTATTATTAACGTTAAATACAATTTTTTATGTGAGCATTTCTAATAATAGATTATATTTAGATACAACCTAGAAATACTTTTAAGAATTCTTTACAATAAAATATTTCTCATTTTGAGTAGAAAAAGGTTGTATTCAACCAGCCTCATGGTCATATTATGCCTTAGTTGATAATGTTTATGGTTTTCAGCTTGTTAAGGACTCCATGCCACCAAATTTCTATGAACGTTACAACAAGAGCGGGAATACAGCAAAGCAGCTCTTCATCAGTACACACGAAAGGCTCGCAAAAGAAGGTGGTAAATGGCTGACCAAAACCTCGGAATCATGCTCAGTGGTTGCAGCACTTGTTGCAACCGTTGCATTCACAACCTCAACAACCGTACCAGGTGGTCCTGACCAAAACACAGGCTTTCCATTATTTCAAGGAGAACCTGCTTTCAACCTCTTCGCTATAGCATCACTTGTTGCACTTTGTTCCTCCGTCACTGCTTTAGTTTTGTTTCTTTCGATACTCACATCACGGTTCCAAGAAAAGGATTTTGCTATGGACTTGCCGAGAAAGCTTCTTCTGGGGTTGACCACACTCTTCACATCTATAGCATCTGTTTTGGTCTCATTCTGTGCAGGGCATTATTTTATCGTTGAAGACGAGCTAAAAATTGCGGTCTATCCCATATATGCTGCTACGTGCTTACCTGTGTCATTTTTTGCATTGGTTCAACTCCCTCTTTACTTTGATCTCTCGTTGGCTATGATAAGGAAGGTTCCTCAGCGCTGCTATAAAGTGTCGTCGCATGAATTGCTTCAACATTAGCTCAATTCTTGATTAAGAGCTTTTTAATTGGTTGTCAATTGGCAATTATCTTAAACACTAGTAAACTGTTCGTTTCATTTCACACCATTTATCTATGGGAAAGCGAAGTTCCACCAACATTTCTGCGTCCAACCCGATTTCTAGTTAACTACGTTGGAAAAATATGGTTAATTTTATTTTTTGACTGGTTAAGAATAAATAAACAATTATTTATAATTACGAATTGTGAATTTGTGGATAATAATATTATAAAGTCATAACCCAGCAGGATAAATACTACTCCTTAATTTATATATCTAGTTTAAGCGTGAGTTGTTAATCACCTTTTGCCAATCTTCAAGTACAAAATTATTGCTAGTAGCCACAAGCCTAGTTTTGGGCTGATGGATAACTGGTCAGTGAATAGAGGTGGTCTGATGGATGTGGACAATCCAGAAGAAATTATATTACTGTTTGTGCATTATTGAGTTGTAATATTTATGTAACATTTTTTACGCTAATTTTTACATTTTTCGATCACAATACAATATTATCACATTTCTTACTCTTGAAATTCCTCCTCCGTTTCGTAACATACTGTGTCGAATAGCGAGCTATTTTTTAGTATAAAAGCATGAGAACACTACGAAACATAAAGTACATGCACGAGATACCACCAGTGCAACATACTAATACGTTATTTCATCACTCAAATGCAACCCAGGTCAACTGCTCTCACTGATTTATACCCTCGGTCTTGCTAGCATCACTCACAATTGTCACAAAATTATCACAATGGATGCAAACTAACTGAAAGAAAAGAGAGCAAAAACACCTTTCAAAGATTTTTACATAATAAATATATTACCGGTGGGTGGGAGCTTAAGACATGTATTGGAAAATATCTACATATGATACAGGTGAAAAAAGGAACCGCTCTAATTACATTTAGTCACAGGAACAAATGTTTTGTCATCTCTTTTCAACCATAGGGTGGAACGAGTTTTCTTCACATTGTCTGCAAAAAGTCGATGCCTACAACCGAAATGTGCATACCAGCCGTCAGGAATGAACTATAATGGATACTAGCACACATAATCATGAAACCCATCATTTAGAAGATGCAATTTTATAGCACTACATTAGACACAAATTTTGGGAGAGCAAAAATTTCAGCAGAGTAATTAGCTATACATGATAATGGCAAACACTCCAATCCACTACCCCAGGGAACAAAATCTGTCTAGTGAAAGCATTCTTCCCAATAGAGATTCAAATTCATTAATAACACAAGAAAAAGTAGAAAAAATGTCTGACCTTTGATACTCCAGCTTCTGAGTAACTATGCCATTCAACAACAGTTCTGAACTGTACACCGTTGCCCCTGCAGGTGCAAAACATAGAATCTTAATTCTGTCCAGAAGGCAAGTTTTCAAATCCAAATGAAACAGTTTCTAACCCTTTTCAAGAAAAGGCACACAAGAAGCATAATCTTCTTCGCATGATATGATCAGTAGATCATCTGCAATTTTATCGCCCTTCCAAAAAGATCTTCCCACTTTCTCCACCACCTAGGAAAATCAGTTACAGACAAAAACAATAATTGAGATAGATCAAGTGTAATGTTGGGAACTTGCGCCAAAAGAAAGACTTATTCAATTGCATGAAGTGATGTATGTGTCTGTTTTCTGAAGGAGGAGAACAATCAACAAATTCATGATTACAAATCATTAGTGGACCTCAATATTGATTAATAATAAAATAGAAGAATTACACTGATTTTATAATATAAAAAAATCTTTGCTTATTCTATCTGATTTGTTCAAACTTCACAGAAAATCATGAAAAGGAGGAACTATCCCAGTTCTAAAGATATGCTTTTCTTCAACAGTATAGGAGTGCAACTGATGAATATACATGGAGAAATATGTATACCTGACCCTGAACTGCCCTCGCTAAATTTGAAACAATCTCTTTACTAGGTTTGGTATTTGGGGTAATCAATACTCTTCGACCCTGCAGAAAATTATGATCATTTTATCAGGAGCAATATGTGGAAATTGCATGTTTGTATTTAAAATAGGTTTAATTAAGCTTCTATCCCTCCTAATCTTTAAAAAGTTAAATTCTAGTTCACTTAGTTTTGGTGTAGAATTTTATCCCCTTATGCAATGTTTTGTTGATGTGGTTCCATTACGAGCAATTTAGTCCCCCCTGTTAACCTGCAATTTAGCATTAAGTTTTATGGCACAATCTTCTTGTTTACCGACTATACTTGCATGGAGATGAAGCAGCAATTTCACATTAGCAATAAACTAACCAGGGGACATATTTGCATCAGGTTGAAAACTATGGGGACAACACCGATAGTATTAAAACAAGGGAACAGGATAAAATTGGAAAAGAGGATTAAAAGTCTAAGATGCTTATAAACAACAGTAATTAAGCCTTGTCTCACTGGGTAGGGTTGGCAAACCATATACACAGATACATATATATATATATAGGACATATTAAGTGAGAATAGTTTATTGGTGAGAGATGTGTCCAGTGGATCTTTTTGTATACATGGTCAGAATTAGAAATCACTAAAAAAGTTGCTAGATCACTTTAGATAAACAAACGACTTTGTTATAATTCTAACTGGTGACAACACATCCATTATCCAACGATTAAGATTGATTTACACATTTCACTTTGTATGTTCCATATATATTACCTCTAGAAGAGGATGCTGGATTGCACGTGCTAGTGAGACAGGCATGCTGAAACCTATCTCCTTTTCCTTTTTTGCATCCCTCAATATGTAATTTCTCTCATCAATAAAACAGCTAGCTTGTCCACAGCTCTCAATCCATAAGTGTGTGACAACAGGTTTACCAGAAGCAATAGCTTCTAACAGATTCCTTGTACGCACAAATTGATCAGCAATGAAGTGGGTTGCATCTGCAATGGAGGATGCTACAGAAACTCCTAGACGTGCTAAAATCTGCAATAAGAACAAGCAGATATGACTGAAAACCACATCCCTGTACTTACTGATAGAAGTTTATCAACAACAAAAAAAATCAAATGATACCTTCTTCTGATGCTTAATAATATCTTCATCCAAGTGGTGGCTGTAAAGAATTCGAACATCTGTCATGTCCCTCCTCTTTCTTGAATCTTTAGACGGGGTAAGTAATTCAGGTTTGATGGTACTCAAGCTTTGAAGTTCTCTATGGAGCTCCTTACGAGATGCTTTGAGAAGGCACGATCTTGAAAGATTTCTATTGCATGATTGTTTGTAATATTCATCACCCATACAAACAGGTGATGCATCATTCACAGGCATCTTACACTTTGCTGGAGTTGCAGATGCCGAGTCAGATGACTTGTCCCTCTCTCTTGGAGATTCGTCTGAACTAGTGACTTTGCAATTATTGATATTATCCCCTGGGTTTACTTTATCTAAATTTAGCTCTGATATTTTCCTTTGTTTTTTATCAAGTGAAGATATTACTGAACCATCAGTAGATTTGACAACAGAATCTGTTCTAACTTTTCTCTTCCGAGCAGTAGATTTCCCAATATCTTCAGGTTGAGCAGATGGTTTAGATGAACCAACTAATGTCTCAGATCCTTTATCATGATTCGACAACTTTCTAATCCTGAGAGATCTTTTAGGACAATCTAATGCACCCATTTCAACATCGTCACTGACACTAACAGCACTTGCCTTTAGAGCAGAATTCTCAAATTGACACGAGTTGGAATTATCATCTACTTCAAAGTGATTAGAAAGTCCTGTAGAATTAGAATTCAATGATTTGGATGCCTGTAGGCCAAATCCACTGCTTTTCTCAAGGGAATCACTTCCCATATCCCCATCTCTCAAACTTTTGGATGGTATAGCTAAGGATCGTCTAGTTCTGCGAGCAATTGGTGTAAAATGCCATATATCATCCTGTAATTGCCTTTTGTTAACTGGACTCCCTCCACCTTCTCCATTATTGCCATCTGAATTATTCAACTCATCAACCTGATGTCTTTTCAAAGCTCCATCCAACTTTCGTTGCATAATTTTTGGAGGCAAGGATACTCTACCATTTTCATCAGCACTGGAAATTTGGTTTCCTTCTGCATTTAACTTATTCATCTTTGATTTTGCCATCATATTGTCCTTTTTGCATTGCCTGACTACTTCAATGCTTTTCTTTGATAACCCTGAAGTTTGCAACTTTGATTTAACATCAACTCTCTTTTTCCTGTCATATTGTCCCGAATGTCCCTTAGATGAAACAGACCTCATTTTTCCAGTAGAAGGGTTATTAAGTTTATAAGTTAACCCACTTCTAGTAACATGAGTGGCATCATTAGCAACACGATCAACAATATCCTAGGCATTGAATAAAGCTTCCATAGCCTCAGCAGCCATTTGAGTATCTAAACCTACATCCAACATTTCCTGTGCTCCTGCATTAGCATTGGGCTCCTTCTCTCCTCCAGAGCAATCGGTGTCAAATTGTTCATCCAATTCATTAGCTAGATTCCGTTTTAAGTTCAATGTTGGTTCTTGCATAATATTGTCCTTAACTTTCAGAACATGCATCCCTAGTCTTGAATCAGAATGACCTGCGGTCTTTCTTTTATTGGGAACACTTAATTGTTTCTCACCTTTCTTATCATTATTTAGTCTGCTTACTTTGCTCTTCTGGAATACCGGCAACGACCTTGGCCCATGAGTTTCACCCTTAAAAAAATCATCCTTTCTCCTTAGGTATATATCTCCCCCTCCTTCATCCTCACAGCTATCATCCCAGTCATAGATCCCAGTTCTTCCAGCTTTGTCTCTATCATTTACTCTCTTGACCAAACTCTGTTTCCCTTTTGTAGTCAGAATGGATTTTGACCTTTCCTTTATTTTCTTAACACAGTTAGTTTCTTGATCAAACTCCATGATATTATCTTTGAGAAACCTATCAACAAAATTGAGAGCATTGTCCTGTGACAACAATCCAGGTTCTTGAGAGTTAATGTAGCTTAAACCTCTGGTAGGCAACTTGTCCAAGCCATCTCCTTCATTAAAATCATTGCTGCTAAGAGAAGGACCATCTGTTTCGATAGGTAATTCATCATTAAAAAGTTTTCTCACTGCCGAATTAGCAACCTTGCACATACTTTTGTTCTTCAAAACCCCAAATTCCAGAGTGTATTTCCCATGCTCGTTTTCCTGATCAACTCCCTCAACCTTTTCAGAACATCTAGGAAGGGATTCCCCATTATCCTTTACAGCCAGTGGTTCCTGACGAAAATCTTTAATACCCATTACAGAAATGGTCTTATCCTGGGTTTGTTTCAAATTCATATTGCGATTAGCTAGAGCAGCCTGCCGCAAAGATTCTGCACGGAGAACAGTAAACCGTGGAGGCATGGAACCTGAGAAAAATATAAACTTCAATATTGGACTCAAAATAAATGAAATGCATTCACATGATACATTTCAAAACAAGAAAAGGAATAACAATTCACAAAATAATCAACCTGGCAATGTATTTAGTCAGATACAAAATACTAATAATAAACAAAGAAGCAATAGTACTTCTCATAAAAATGAATGGAAACAAATTAGTATTCCACCCCCAAATAAGCCAATCAAAACATAAAATTTTGATGAAACCAAACTTAATCCAAACTTCAGGCCATGTAAGCCACCTTTTCCTTTTTTTTTCTTCAATACATATGTCCCTTTTACTAGTGCAAGATATGCTTAAAGAGAGGTAAATTTTCCACAAAATAATTGTAATTTTGAATCTCCATTAAAATCAATAACACAAACAAAGGTCACCACAAACACTTAAGAATTAATAAGCCACTAATAAAACGGAAATTACTAAATAAAACTCCTTCAAAGCACAATTCTTTTTTCATTCAAAGTACCAACCAATTCAAAATCACCACTTTTCACTTCATATCTGAATTAACTCACTCACTCACCAGAACTGTTCTGTTGCGAAGATTCACCCTTCTTGCTATCCAGGGTTTGACCATTGTCACTGTCCACGCATTGAGTCTCATCAGCAGATACCTCATCATTCACATTCTCCAAAACTTGCGTCCTATCCGATTCCAACTCTTCTTCCAACAACTGCGTGTCAATGTCGTCTAACTTCTGAGTTTCACCGGCAAGGTCCTCTACTTCGGTTTCCAAAACGTCCTCGTCGAAAGGCACTGTGTCTTCAAAGTATTGGCACTCATTGTCATCGTTAGGCACTGTGTCTTCAAAGTATCGACACTCATTGTCATCGTCCTCCTCACCTGACATTCCCCCAAATCAAACGATTCGGAAACAAAAATGTTAGATTTGTTGCAAATTAGGGAACCGCGGATGAGAAATCGAGAAGGAAATTAATTTAAAGATGTGAAGCGCTCACAATCGGTGTCGAGTGGCTGAGTATCGACGTAGTCGAAATCTGCGTTGATTCCATGATCATCTTTTCCCATCGCTGAAAAACCCTACCCAAAATTAGGGCATGCAATTGCAAAGAGAGAGAATAAAGAACTAAAGACTCAATTTTTTGGAGGGAAAATGTCGCGGTTTTTTTGTGTTGGTGGCTTAATGGACCGGTTGAAACTTGAAAGAACAGTGTGCTACTCCTACTCGAGTCCTGCACCAGCCACGCCAACGGTAATTTTTTATTATTAATTTATCGTTCGATACCTAACACTTAACACTCACACTGAATTGGTTTTTTTATATATCCTAGCAGGAAAAAAGGCACTACGTACCTCTATTATATTAAAATAAAAAAATATAAAAAATTACTCATATAAAGATAATTATTAAAAAATAAATAAAAGATAAAATGATTTATGTAAAATAAAAATTAAAAGTAATTATTAAAAATGATATCTTTTTTATATATTAGTATAGATTCATTAATTTTAAGTTTTTAAATTTGATTAAAAATATTTTTCTTAATTTTTTAAAATAAAAAGATATAATGGTTAAAAAAGTAGATACTAAGATAGTTACTAAAAAGATATCCCTTTTATATATTAATTATAGATATATATTGATGTTGTGATTTTGTTTCAAAATTTTTGTAATGGATAATTTTATATAAAAATTGAGAATGGATAAGTTATATTTATTATATATGATTAAAACTTGTATTTTAAAATATAATTTTTCTATTTATAATTTTAAGATACTTGAAACAATTAAACATGATTTTGATTTTTAAATTTAAAAAATATATTTTAAAATTATAAATAGAGGAGTCATCTCTTCAAATATGAATTTTAATAAGTTTCATATATAATAAATACACTTATCCATTTCTAGAGTTTTTTTTTATTAAATTATCCATTATAAGAATTTTAAAACAAAATTACACTATTAGAGGAAAAATAAACTACTGAATTTCAAACTTAGGACAAAACTCATGTATATTAAAAATTATCTTATATTACTTTATTGAGTTATATATATTGTTACATCAAATTTAAATAATTCATAAGATACTTATATATTTTTATATTCTTTTTGTCCGTATATAATTTTATATGATGGGTCAATCAAAAAGTTAAAAACAAATTTTTATTGTAAGCAACCGCATTATATGGCTTTGAATTAAACACCGACTTTTAAATTAAAAGTTATTTTATTTTCATATGGTTTTTATTTAGTGTATCTTGTAATTCTAAGTTAAATACTGATCTCTAAACTAAAGACTAATTTAATTTTATATAATTCTGATTTATTGTTTTATGATTGCATATTTTGATTAAGAGTTTTTCTTTTCAATTTTTTACACTTTTTTAAGTAAGGAATTATAATTTTTTCTCATTAAGTTGACTCTTATAAGAGTAAATTGATATTTTTAATTACGACTTCATGTTTAAAATAAGAATCAAACCTTAACCTTTGATTAAAAAATACAAGTATCAAATCACTTGAGTTAACTACTTGAATCAATCTCTTACATTTTTTGTAATACCGAACCTGGTACCACTTATATCATACCTTTATGTGATTTAATAAAATTTTATTTCTTTGATCTTTTAAAAGAAAAAAGTTAAATATGTTCTCCAAAAACATGTCAATAAATAGTATATGTTCTCATAAATCTTAATGAAATGGCAAATTCATCATTGTATTTTTTTTATATTTATTTGTTTTTTTTCATTAGTATTTAGATTTTTTAGTTTCTAAAGATCCTACAAAAACAATTTACTTTGGTGGTTCACATAATATTTTTTTATATGTATGAATTATAATAATGACACCAAAATTTCACTCTAGGACCTTGTATGTATTACTTCAACCCTCCACCACTAGGTCAACTCTAATGATCTACATTTGACTTAATATATGATGTCTTTTAAGGGTCTTAATTCATTTTTAATGATTAATTTTAATTGTGTGTAACTTTTTATTCTCCTTTTACCATCGTGTATCAATCATAATGATTTATGTCAATTTTGCATAATACACTAAAGAAATAAAAATAATAATTTTGTTAGCATACTTTACATGTGAAAAAAAAAGGTACCAAAATTCATAATGTACTAATAGTAAGAAAAAAAAAAGAGATAATAATATAAGTGTTATAATGATAATGTTATTGAGTTAATTTAAGTTTTTAACATACTTTTCTTACTTGAACTTGCACATACTTTGACTAACATTCAAGTGAAAAGTGACATCATGAGTAAATTTGAACTTGGTTATAAGTGATACTTGTACTCTTCATACTAAGTTAGTTTAGATTTTTAACATATTTGTTCTTATTGGAATTTGTGAGTACTCCAATGGACAAAGAGTAAGTATTTGCTTCTCAACACTAACAAAAAAAGCACGACTCAAACTTTAAAGTGATAAGTGTTAATCAGAATATATTTTGACCTCAAGTATGTTGATATCGTTAAGGTCAACATATTTGAGGTAATGTTCACTTTAACATAGTCATCACAATTTTATCCCTAAAAATGTGTCTTAATGGATTAAAGATGAGTGTGTTTATAAAAGACCCCAAGTCTTAACTCCTAAGCGGTGTAAAACTTATAGATGTATCAAATCAAACTTCCCAATCAAGGTGAAAGGGATAAGAGTGACATAGGCCTTCTATTTAGCATCAATGTTTCGACCTCAAATTTGTTAGCATTGTTAAAATCATCGCATATGAGATATTGCCCATTTTAAAATTTGTTAAATCGTATAATTTTATCCTTAAAAAACACTTTGATGAACTAAGGGAGGAGTATGTTTATAAATAATTATTAACTTTGACTTTTAAACGAAGTGAAATTTTTAGACAAATTAAAACAATACTAATAAATAAAAAAAAACCAATTTATATGGTAAAAAAAGAATAAATAAGGAGATTATAAAATATTTAAATTTTACATATGTTAACCAACTTTTTAATTTTAGTTAATTAAAATATTATTTTTGCCTCTTTAAAACTTTTGTTACTAAATTGGTATAAATGGGATAAAGTTATATATTTGAATAAATTTGAAGTTTAGTGTTATTTAAATAAACTTAAGAAAGTGGACCGTAATTAACTTTTTTTTTATATATATTTTGTTGTTATAATTTAAAGGGAGAACTTCATATAATTCTCTAAATTTTATCTCTTTTGTAAATTAACACTACAAATTTTAATTTTACTTCAATTAATTTTCAAATTTTATCTTGTTAGTAAATAAACATCATAAATTTTAATTTTGTTATAATTGATCCTTAAATTTTATTATTTTTTTTATAAATAAATATTTTGATTTCAATTTTACCTTAATTAATTTTTTTTTTCTATAAACACCTCTTATATTATAATGGGATTAAATTACTATAACAAAAAAAATATTATTTATTTATTTATTTTAAATCAAAGTTATTTATTGTTTTTTGTACATATATTAATTTGTTTTCATATGCATTAAAAATAACATATAATTTAGAATTAAAAAATCAAATAAATAATTTTTTATGGTTTTTATCATTCTCTTTTTTTGTATTCCTAAACTTATTTTTTGTTATATTTGTAAAACAATTATAAAAAAATATTAGTGAATGATTAATATTTAAGAAATAATTTAAATCTAAATTAAAAATAGGATTATGATATTTTGTCTGTTAACTTTTTTTTAACGGAAACAACTAACATGATTAATTATTAAAGAAAAAATAAATAAAAGCAAATGATAGGCTTTGTTTAATGAGAATTAGTATAAATTATGGTTGCGTATAGCATATGAAATGGGCATTTGGTCTAGTGGTATGATTCTCGCTTAGGGTGCGAGAGGTCCCGAGTTCAATTCTCGGAATGCCCCAAATCTTTGTTTTTATAAAATTTCGAGTTCGTTGAATATGCTATGTAAGCCCTAACTCGTCATTTTATGCATTAACGTAGCCGATTCCTGTTCCAAAATATCTTGCTACCTAATTACACTACATTATAATGATAATATAAAGTATGGACAGGAAATATATTATTGGTAGATGAAAAGGTGTCTTCGTTAATAAAAAAAAAAAATCAGTTAATTTTGATAGAATACACAGTTAATTAGAAAATGTAAGGATGATTAAAATATAATTTATAAAAGTAAATAAAATCTTAAAATGTGTACATGAAAAAAGTGTATAGCCTTTATATATTATTATAAATTATAAATAAACCGCACTTGTATTTTGAAACATATATTTAACAAATAATTTTAGTTTTTGTACTAATCGAACATTTTGATTGACCACATTAACCGTATTTGATAAACATTTTATTAACAATTTACATGAGATAAAATTAAAAAAAAATATAAAGTAAAATATTTTTTTTCTATAAGTTAAAATTGACATAAACATATATTAAGAAGGATTTTTTTTGTTTGTTAAAAATGTACGACTCTTTTTATATGAATAAAGTGATATATTTCATTGCAATTTTATACTTAATGCGAGAATGAAACTTCAATTATTAATCAAGGAACTCAAATATCAAATCACTTAAACTAACAACATTTGATATTAAAAAAATATAATTTAAAGAATTTTATGAGATTGTTTAAGAAACTCATATGAGATATTTTTTATAAATTTATTTATGTATAAGTTAGTTTTAACTTTTAAATAAAATTATTTTTCTTATTTTGATCTCTCATAAATATTTATGAAAAATTTTATCTTAAGAATAATTTACATTTTAAGTCAATAGAAATTTATATTAATCGAAAAAAAACATATATAATGTTATATTGTTGGATTTAACATTTTCAAAATGAAAGGATATGAAAATTTATAAAATAAAATGTATTGAAAATCATTAATTAAAAAAGTTATTAGTTTAAAATTATGATGAAATTCAAGTTTAATATATCACTTGTTTCTTATATTTTTTGAAAATTTTTAACTAGATGCCCAAATATATTAAAGTGTTACCAAAATACAGTAAAATGTTAGTATCGCCATTATTTTCATTTAATACATGTTTTCTTGTGTTAGTTAAGGATGTCAAAATTAGAAAATAAGTTTGATACGTAACTAATGTGCTACTGGCAATGTATATTATGAATTTTATTTTAAGTTGACTCTTTTATTTAAAGAGAAAAAGAACATATTTAACGTTCAATACAAACTATACAAGAGTTTGAATATTTCTTCAAAAAGTAGCATTTGAAATAAAATTA